TCGGAGCTCCATTTTCTGCCTTAAAAAGCACACACAACCCACAATTCCTCTATTCACTCTGACGAAGGGCTAATGCTCGAAACATCAGCTTTTGTAATCGTTACGGTGGCCAATTTACCATTTCAACTTTGTTGATATATCCATAATATTTAAATATACATATAATTTTGTAGATTAGGTGATTAGGAAGCCGATTTTTGGCCTATCTTTTAAGTCTTTGAGGATATTCCTCTTATCATAATACAGAATGTGTAATTTTATCTTTTCATTTTTGGCCGAGGAAGACATCATTATATCATTATTATGTTACTGGGTAAAGGAAAACTAATAAACCTTTGTGAAATGATATAAGATAAATAAGCAAAAGTTTTCTCTTGTGGCTTCATTAATTTTGTTGATTCTACTTTTTCTTTTCTTTTAATAAGTTCCTAGCAGAAAAATTTAAAGTTTTCTCAAGGAATTTCAAAGTGTTTAAAACAGACAGGTTTATTGTTTCAAAATATTTCTCTAAAGAATTTTACTTGTGAGCCTTGACTGCTTGTAATTCATCCAGTTCTCCTGACTTATGATAAAAAATATTGAAGGTGGGAAATTTCAACTAACTAAATTCCCTCAATTCCCGAATATATTAATTTAAAAGAGCGGAAACAGTAGAAACATTCAAAACTACGCTTAAGACATTTTTGTTTAAAAAACATTACTGTTAATTAATTACTTATTCTTATGTCTTAATAATCTGTTGTTAGGCGCATTGAGATTAGAAATGTGCCCTATATATAAGCATCTATTTATTATTATTATTATTAATGGGTTTCAACTTTTTTCAATTTTGATTTTATGAACTGTAATAGGAAAAAAAATCTCAGTAAACTAACAAAGTATGAATTTTTCACAAGAACAAAAGTTGTATCATCAGTTCCTTCTTCATGTTGGCCTTTATTATATCTCTCAGTTTGTATGTTCACTATGATTGGTCAATTTAGTGGGCTATAATTCTCTTTATTACACGACTCGGGCAGTCAGAGGGCCAAGAACTAAAATCAACCAATCAAAATGCTCTATTGCCAGTCAATATTCTCTCAGTATTGGACCGGGCACTGTCGCGAATGGTCCTGAATGATACCACACTTGTGTCCCTTTAAACTTCAGTCATATAATAAATCTCTTCTTAACCAAGCTTGCTTGGGACCGTACTGGAAGAATATCGGTCCTCGGTCTTTATTGTATGGACCGAGCTGTGCTCGGTTGTCATGACCTCAGGCTGTCATGACCTCAGGCTGATATTCTCCCAGTACGGCCCTCGTGCTTGGTTAATAAGATATAGTACAGCCCACTAAATTCAAAGTTTGTTTGAACTGAAATTTCTCCCTCTATTTGTCCCAGAGATATAATAAATGTCTTCACTAACCTCATTTACTACTCAGACTGTTCCGAAGTTATGGAACAGAACCTTGTTTTTTTCCTTAGATTTTTAGCCAGTATGCTTGGGCTATAAGTCTGAGAGGAAAAACCCCAATCCATAATTTACAATACAGACCTTGAACTTGGTTTGTAAGAAATTGGACTTGTAGAGGTTCTTAGATGTATTGTGTGGCATTAAGTAAAGGACCATTTGAAAAATTACCAGAGAGCACCATTTCTGCCCCTTTTGATTTTTTACAGGTCAAGAATGATTATCACCATACGATTGTCAGTCTTAATTTTTTGCAGGTGTAATTGCTTTGTGTTTTCTTAACTGCAGGTGCTCAAGCTTGTGCAATTGTTTTTTCTACTGTTGACAGAGACTCTTTCGATGCAGTTGAAAAATGGAGAACCAAGGTATATTCTTAGGAATAATTTACATGCACACTTCACTTTTTTAATCTTTAGAACATACCATTTCAAACAATAACACAGTGTATAAGATACATTCATTGATTACTGAGAATTAGACTCTTACCATTGGAAAGCGAAAGAACAGCAAACTAATTTGTTAAGCCAATGAAAACTTGAACACTCTAAAACTGAAAGCTTTAAAATATATTCCAATTTTTGGTTCAGTATGTGAGAAAATCTGGCTTTAAAGGTTTGTAGCAAGGATCATTGTGAGCCCGAAGAGATGCAATAGTAATGTTCCACAGTTTGAAAGTTTCAGTCCAATAGTACCTTAGCTATACTCAACATGCAATGCATTCAGTTTTGGGGTCCTCATTCAAAGCCTCAACTAAAATGAAAGTTCAGATACAATTAACTGCAATAGTATGTTTACGGATTCATGTTAGTTCTTAATACTTCACATAGTAAGCCTGTAATAGCTTGAATTTTTCTGCCAGGCGTGAGAAATAGTTCGGCAGGTATGAACTGGCATGAGATTGGAGGTATGAATTTCTAAGGTTCATGCTAGCTGTTAGGGAAAGGTGATGAAATGCTTATCCATGATGAAATCCCTAATCCAAGGGGATGAGCAATACCCCTACTAGTTTCATGGTATGGGAACACAGCCAGGCTGGTTCAACTTTCATTGATCTTCCCTTTCTTTTGTTCTTTTGATTAACCCTTTAGCTCCCAAGAGGGACTGGGATCCTATTCCTCCCCACAGCATCCATGCCAAGCAAACTTTAAGTCACAAGAATAATGAAAATGATAGGAAACTAAAAGTTCATGATGGTCAAACAAATTCTCCTTGTCAGTTCCATAGGAAATGTATAAGGAACACAAAGGTGAATACAGATATTCGCGCAAGGCCATAAAAAGTTAACAATTGTCTTATTGATTATACCTTTTCAGGTAGAAGATGAATGTGGAAATATACCAATGGTGTTAGTTCAAAACAAAATAGATTTGATTGATCAAGCATTAGTTAAAGTGTAAGTTTGTCTTGTTAAATTTTCATGCTGTCTGATTTATTGTAACCGCATACAGAGCAGCACTCTTACATGTACATCTTTCTTTGAGACAAATTAGGTT